TCTATCTATCTATCTATCTATCTATCTATCTATCTATCTATCTATCTATCTATCTATCTATCTATCTATCTATCTATCTATCTATCTATCTCTCCTTCTCCTGGGATTGGGCAAGATCTGCGACTAGAAAAGCAACAGCTGAGCAAACCTTACAGCCCCTTTGCCTCAGTTTAGTTGCAGAGCCTCCATGAGACGTTAAAAAAGGTGCAAAGTGCCATTTTGCAAACCAGTCGTGTCAGAGGTTCAAAATGGCGGCCGCAAGAGCTCTGAGGTCTGAAGAACTCATTGGAGTCTTATCTGAGTAGGAGGGCAGCCTACAGAGGGTGCAGGGGACCCAGAGGCTGATCAGGGACCCTCCAATGCTTCTTCTTCCAGAGTAGGGACTACCAAGCCCCACAGGGAGGGTGGCAAGGTGACAGTAAAATCCTTCAAGTCTCAAAAGACATCTAAGTCTGCCTACAGGTACGAAAAACACGGAGATAAGGCATTGGAAAAATTATGTAATAAAGCCTCTAGCCAGAAAACACCTGCTGCATTGCCACCTGATAGGAGGCTCTGTTCCTCATCAAGGTTGCCACTGCATTTGTCACCTGAGGACAGACAAGATAGGGAAGCCTCCCTTGATCTTAGGCTGCCTATTGACACCACTGGAATCTGGGGGTCTGTTCAGGATCTACACAATTCACCCCACGAAGGGAACTTTGATTTACCTTTGGGGCCGGATAGACCAGATTATGCCCTGCTTTCTACATCACAGAGCTTATGTCCAAATTCTATTGCACCAATATACATGCCCATGTGCATGCCAAATATGCCAGATATAATTCCAAATGCCATTGAAAAAGGCAGGGCAGTTAGATTGCAGCAGAGCCAAGGTGCTCTGGTACGTGGATCCTCCACGCGTGCACCAATAGCAATAGCAATAGCAGTTAGACTTATATACCGCTTCATAGGGCTTTCAGCCTTCTCTAAGCAGTTTACAGTGTCAGCATATCGCCCCCACAATCTGGATCCTCATTTCACCCACCTCGGAAGGATGGAAGGCTGAATCAACTTTGAGCTGGTGAGATTAGAACCGCTGAACTGCAGATAACAGTCAGCTGAAGTGGCCTGCAGTACTGCACCCTAACCACTGCGCCACCTTGGCCCACCAGGGACATTGAACACTGCACCTGAGCCTGTGCATGGGCCCTCCACACGCACAGTGGGGGTAATGGATGCCGCACCTAAACCTGGCTCCATGTCGCCTGCTCCTGCCCAAAATGACATTGCGTCGATTCCAGAGGAAGGTGAGATTAGGGAGACTGACCTCTTCAAGGATGAGGGTGTGACCCCTGACCAGATCGCCTTCTCAGGGCTCTTTCAGCCTCCCCTCTTCAAATCCCTTTTGTTTAAAACTAAAACTTCTGTCAATTTTGGTGCAAAGGCAGCTGTACTATCTCTATGTAGCCAGGCTATGTCAGCTGAGACTCTTTTTGCAGAGACCACTGTTGAGGCCATCACCATGCCTATCCCTAAAATATTTGTGGATTTAGTCCAGCATCAGTGGTCCTCTCCCACATCTGGACCCATGCCATCCTCCATGGACAAAAAAGTCTTCAATGTGGATAAGGATTTGGCCCAAATCCTACAGGCCCCTGACTGTGGATGCTCCGGTTACTTCATTGTATACCTCAGCCAACCTTCCAGGGGCCCCAGAGGATGCTCTAAAACCCAAGATTAAAAGAGTCGACCTTACTTTGCAATGGAGTTTCCAGGCCGCTGCTTGGGCCATCAAGAGTGTCTACCAAAGCCTCCTTTTTTACCAGATCCTGCTTGCTTTGGCTGCAAGATCTACAACAATGCATTCCCATTGCAGATGTCAGGGCCCACCAAGACCTTAATAAAGTTGTAGTGATGGTTCAATTTACTTCAGACGCCACCTTGACCTCAGCCAGACAACATATCGACAAAGGCCCAGAAAAACAACAATTTTTATGACATTTTAATTAACTTTTTAACTTTTTGTCCATTTGCAGCCCTGCCAAAAATACATATGTAACTGCAGCCATGGGAGATACATTTTTGGAAGTAATTTTATCTTTCCTTGTCTAATTTGAATTGTGATTCAATGTCCAGGGTTGCAATTAAGGTAGGATACAAAAAAATGAATGTTTGTATTATGGACAATGGATCAGCAACTCTACATTATTCCAAGCTCCTATTCTTTCCTTGGTTTCCTTCTTCCTGCCCCAGTTTTTTGACCCTGCCTGAACCTTTCTCTGGGGCTCTGCCCTCTTTCCTTTGACCTTAACATTTCAGTCTACTGCCAGAGAATGATGCTTTAGCTTTCAAAACATTACAAAAAGCTTGGTGGTTTTCTTGCACCAAAAGTTTATAAACTTTTATTAATTTGTCATATCATTTTCAGAAGAAACTAAGGCAGAGACAGAAGTGGGTTATTGGCCAACAAGAAAGAGTTGAAAAGATAATGCAGAGTTTCAGATATGTAAGCTATGTTGGAGGTGCAAGGCTGCTTTGAAGAGGTTGAAGATAGAAAACTTAGATCATGCAAGAACAGGTTGCATGTTAAAAGCCAAAGAAGTCCGCAAAGCTCACTCCAACAAGGTGAACATGGGATAGGAAGCAATGGGAAGCAGGACAGTTGTTCCCAACAAGGGGAGGTGGTCTGGAGGATGCTCAGAGTTTTGGGTTTTGCCTAATTGGACTATTTGATAGTCCCTTCTCCTGAGAAATCATGCAGATATCTGCTCTCAGTCCTCTTAACTGGTGATGTGATTTAGATATTGGCAGTCTCCCAAGGCTGAATCAGCAGCCACTTGTGCTGAATCTGATTCACAGGTCACAGGGTGCTTACAGCCTCTTCCTTTACAAGCTGAGAATTCAGCAGGCTCTCCTCAGAATCAGAGGAACCCATAATACAACATATTTTTCTGGTTGTTTGTGTTGCACCTGTATTGATATTAGTTTAGTGTTCTGTTGAGAAAATTGTTTATTTGCTAATATTCTTACCCTTTATACTGGAAATCTTCAGTCTCAGCATTTATCTCCACAAGCTTCTCAATCTTATCCTCAAGGCTTCCATATTCTATCTATTTATAACCATTGTTGTCAACCTGCAGCTGTCTTAGTCACTGGAGGACCTGTCTCAGCCTCTGAAAGTCTGCTTCTTTCCTGCTCCTAATTTCTGTCTCTCAAATTGTCTAAATTTTACCGCCTTTTCCATTGTTCTATCTTCTAATCCACTTTTTCCATGACTCCTAAGACATTGTTGTGACTACATCTAAGTGCACATAACTAAAATAATTTCAGATTATTTTCCTGTTTACTGCTGTTCCACTCATTCCTCATTCTTTTTCATCTCATCTTTGTATACCAGTTATTAGACTGTGATTTTCTTCGGGGAAAGATCTTTAAACCTATTTTTTGTAAAGCTCCATTTACTGTACGTAGATGGCATCATATAAATAACAATATAATTTTGACCTTGAGTCTTTGGAAAGCTATCATCTTCGTGTAGCCGCAAAAATAGATGTCAGAAGATGCTTTATTATGAATGGTGGCTGCTGAACATAGATATTATCTTCTTCCTTCATCTCCAGAACAAGATCCATAAGATGATGATGCCTTTCCCTTTTTTAAAAAAATGGACTCCTTGATGGTTTTATCACAGTATTAGATCATAGCACCTTATCATAAAACCAATACAATTGTTTAAAAGATTAAATTATAAACAAAACAACAACAGTAAAAGAGCCATTGAGAATGGAAAGAATTTATCATGATTTTTTTGGTCTTTCATTTTTCCTTATCCTTCAAAAAGCAGACCAAGGAAGAAAAAAATGAGGTGACACTACATTATGTATTTTATTTGTTTCAGGGACAGGGAAAGAATGAGATGCAGCTATTTGGAATTTATACAACAGTGCCTTTACTTACCTTATGAAATGTATCTGGTCAACCTGTTTCATGGATTGTAGTCAAACCTGCTTCACCAACTGTCTCTATTCCACAGCCAGGCAACACAATCTCATGATGCTGGATGGTTTCACAATGTACTTACTATCTTCAGCGGGAAACATCCTCAACCAGGCCCATGCCGGGATCTATCAGGATATGAGCCAGCCTTTATGCCATTACTTCATCTCTTCCTCCCATAATACCTACCTAACAGACAATCAGATTGGAGGGGCCAGTAGCACTGAGGCATATGTTCGGTAAGAATTTTTCATGACCCAACTGTGAACAGCTATAGCTATCTAGCTGTGATAGAAACGGAGGTTGCAGAATAGGTATTGTTCTCATAAATCCACAAAGATCTAGTTGAAAACAAGTCAGAATGTCACATATTTGAGGGCAGAGCTGAGGATGAAGATCCTATCATATCCTGAAAATTGGTAACCACCTGTTGTGAGTTTTTAATCTATGATTCTCTGGAAACTGAAAAGGAACTGGGTGAGCAGCAGATTAGGAGAGGATAACCGATTAATGGGAATGGGTATAATTTGAACAGAACTAGATGAACGAGGCCAAGGCAAGATGACAGAAAGGAACAATTAGACTGGTACCTGGGGAGGGATTTCCCTTTCCATCTGTTTATTCACTTTTCTAGCATCAGGTGGTTCCATTAATTAGGTAGCATGCAAACTTATAATTCACATTAATATCATAAAAATTATCCTTAACTGTCCTTAAATGAATGGTTTAGGGGCCATTTTGAACATGATATAGTGAAGAGCAGATATAGTCAGCAGATATTACTTGCAGTTCTTATGAATCAAAGGAAGTATGCAGGAACTCTCTGGGAGTTCTGGTATCAAATCCAAACATTTGACTCCTTGTAATAGGCAGAGAAGATAATGAATTTGGCCAGTTCAACAGGAGAATCAGATTACATATTAGTAGCAATAGAAAGTCCAATGGCTTATACATAATGTATAACACAAAAATGAAATCATTTCTTTTACATCACCTGCCCACTATGACTACATTTCCTGATTGATCCTCATTTGTTTGATCTGGAATATAATCTTTGTTTTATGAATATTACATAAAATGATTACACTACAACTATATTAATTGGTTTGATTATGCTATCCAGCATAACCCATTGTTTTTCCTAGACTGTCTTATATCTCTTTATATAATTTTAGATGTGGGTGTCTCCTGAATTTCAGTAGCGAATATAGTTTCACATATTCTAGATTTGCTTCAAAAGCTTTAGGGAAGCATCTTGATCACATACAAAACTGAACATCTTGAGTGTCAGAATGAAAACAACAAATTCTACTATCTTTTACCTCTATCCATTCCCAGTTGCATTTCTGAAATGCAAAATCTATTTCTTTATCCTTTCCCCCCTCCTATCGGCAGGGCATTAATGAAGGGGTGCCGTTGCGTGGAACTGGACTGCTGGGAAGGTTCTAATGGAGAGCCCATTATCTACCATGGCCATACTCTTACATCCAAGATCCTCTTCCGGGATGTAATTGAAAGCATCCGGGACCATGCCTTCAAGGTAGACTAAACTATAATACACAAAAGTTTTATACTTGAGAACTTTTACTAGAATCTTATTGTTATGTGCAAAAAAAAACCAGAACCACCCATAAATAGGCCCAAGTAGATAATTTATTGTTGATCATCTATATTACAGGAATCTTAACAGACTGTCTTGGAAAGTGGCAGATAAAGATCTAGAGTTTGATCTCAGGAGTTTCCTTTCCCAACCAATCCTAAACTGGAATGTCTCTTAATTACCTTTAGAGGAGCCCCCTCTCCTTTAGCCAGTGATCCCACCACATTTAATGATATCATTATTCATATGCAGCATTATTAATTAAAGCAATAGTTGAAGTAAAAAAGCATTCTTGCCTTATATGTGATATGGCCTAGATATTTTATTAGGCAAAGCATTATTTGTTATGTGAAACAAGAAGAGTTTTCAATAGAGGCTTCCCAGCACTCCTTATCAAGTAACATTATATTGCTCATATATTGGCAATGCAACATTCATAATACTCCCTGCATTGTTTAGTGCCCCAGAATTAACTTTTTTTTAAATATTAAAGATTTGTTGAATGCTTATGAGATCTTTAGGATGCCAAAATCTTAGAAGACCTGAGGCATTAACAAAAAAGGTTGAAAATTTGCAAGCATTTTAATATATCTACTAGAAATAGACTCTAGTTTCTTTTCATTCTCATTTCCTAATAAATTGTCAGGATGTTTTCAAAATAAAACTTTACTTTAAAACCATCCAGAATAGGAGCAGTACTTTTAAGATGGTGCTTTGTAATTTGCTATCTTAGTAAGTTATATAATTTAACACCATATATTCCTTCTAGCCAAATTGTACAACTTTTGATAAATGATAAATTTGCATAGGGTAGGATGGTTTTTTCATGTATCCTCCACCCAAATTTTTTAGGGCCTTAAAAATCAACACAGCAACAGAATTGTTGTGAAATGTTCTGAATATATGGGTCAAAAAGATGTCTGGGCAACAGTTCTTAATTGTGTAAATATCATGACATATTTACTTTGGTTCCTAATAGCAATAGCACTTAGACTTATATGTCACTTCATAGTGCTTTACAGCATTTTCTAAGTGTTTTACAGAGTCAGCCTATTGCCCCCAACAATCTGGGTCCTCATTTTACCAACCTCGGAAGAATGGGTGGCTGAGTCAACATTTATCTTGGCAAATAGCAGAATTAGCCTGCAATACTGCATTCTAACCTCTGCACCACCACAGCCCAATACAAATAAAATATTTAGGGCTGTCTAGAAAATGTACTGATTTATTATCCTGGAGTAGCCCCTATATTGTCCAGCACTTCGCATGAATTTGACAAAGTTGGCAACAAGATTTATATATACAAATACGCTTGGTTGTCATCATATATTTTCATAGATAATATCAGTTTCAATAGTTGTGTGGTTTTGTTTTCCCACTGTTGATACATAAAGAGGAAATGTTTATGCACTGTTATTTGAGTTTTATATTGCTTTTAAAACCATAGATCCACAACCCACATGAAAAAAAGGGCAGATCTATACAAAACTATATCCAAACTTTGTCTCTGAACTAACAGGGGGGAAAAGTTGCTATGAACAATATTTGAAAAGGCTGCTGTAGAGAAATGAAATTTTATAATCCTACTTTATGTCTCCAGCACTCTTCATATCCTGTGATTCTTTCTCTGGAAAACCACTGTGGCCTGGAGCAGCAGTCTACAATGGCCCATCACCTGAAAACCATTCTAGGGGACATGCTGTTGATCCAGCCACTGGATGGAGACCTATCCAAGCAACTGCCATCACCAGAGGTAATACAGCAAATTATATAATGAAAATATTTTTTTTAATTATATAATTGGCCAGCATAGGTGGGTGATCAAAATCTTTCCTAGTAATCTACAGGCTATAAAAACCTCACTCACAATCATGAAGGGAATTTGATTTGATGATCGAATCTTTCTAAGCTTCAGAGCAAGAAATATAAATTAAAAAAACAACAACATTGATTTGCAGCCATTGTCTGATTTGTATTTGTACAGTGTCACCATCCAAGAAATTTGATGGATTAAGAATTTCACTTTACCAGCTTCTGCCATTTGCAGTAACTGCACTGTTTTCAATGATTATTTTATTTTTTAGGTTTTTTTTATTCAAAATGATTTTTTATGTTCTCGACTGTCTTACAATATCACACTTGAAATAATGTTTTATGGTGGGATTATATAACAAATAAAAAGCAGTTGGGTTTAGTAGTTGAGGCACCAGCCTAGAAAATGGGAGAGTGTGAATTCAGTGGGATGACTTTGAGCCAATCAGCCCAACTCAACTCACAAGATTTGTTGTTGTGGGGGAAATAGGAGGAGGAAGTTGTGTTGAATATGTTTGCTGCCTTGTGTTATTCGTAAAAATAATAAAAGTGGGATATAAATAAATATTTTATTTTTCATGTCATATTGGTACTTCACAAAAATCTTAAAGCTTGCCAAATTAAATGAAGAATAAGAGCATTGTGAGCTATACCTTTGCTGATTTGAGGCTTTAGGAAATTACAAATCCCCAGATTCAGCTAACTAAGATTATTAGGAAGGATTTATTGTAGAGCTACGTTTATTGATTTTTCTTTCCCAAACCTTACAGCAATTGAAGGGGAAAATATTAGTGAAGGGGAAAAAGCTATCAGAGAACAAGACTGAACCAAGAGTTTACTTGATCTCCAATCGTGAGGAAGAAATGCAGGAGGAAGAAGACCAGAGGGTGAGGTTTAGATCCATGTTTCTGAAGGGGTGATTAAGAGAGTATTAGGGAAATCTCTAAGGTGGACGCTCTGTAACAGCAAACCAAAATAATTGAGTGTCAAGAATGCAGCTGAATAGCTCTGCTTAAAACAGGGTGTAAGTAGAGTTCTCTGAGTCCCAAGACAAACTTCTCTGATGGGGCAAACTTTAAACTTATCTCAACTTCTTTGCTTACATCCAGCAGTTATCTGGATTTTTGTAGCCCAGATATTGTCATGTAGCCAAATGTGTCAAAAGCATAAGGTAAAGAGTTATCATTTTAGGGAAGCTCAATAGCCCTCTCCCACACACACCCCAATCCACGCCTCTAAGATTTAAGATCACTGTCTTCCTACATTTGCTATATTTATGCTACTGAGAAAGAAGAGGGAGGCTATAAGAGTACTGCATATTTTAGTGTAAATTTGCAAACATCTTCTTTCACCTGCCCCCCCTTCCCCAATATCCCAGTAAAGAACAAGCATGGTTTATTATGGCCAGAGAGGGATGAGGAACAGAAAGCTCAAAATTGAATAGAATAGAAAGGAATACCTAAAAGAAATCAGGCTAGAGTTCTTAACAGAGCATTACAACAGACATTTCACTCTTGTTGCTTTGGAAGAGTTTATGTCATCAAATGAGAAACATCATTTCTTCTTAATTAAAATGGAAAATTGGGGTCTTCTGTTGTCAGAAGCTTCCTTTTAAAAATGTCAGAACAGAATATAAATAGGGTGGTCATCTGCAAGCCAAAAGACAACTATCATTTGGAGTGAAACAGCATCTGTATTTTCTTTTAGTCATTTAAAGTATTCTTAGGAGTTTGCTGCAATTCAAAGGTTTTCTTAAAATAGACAAAGTAGTAATCAACTTCCTTTTGAGCAAAATCTACAATAAATGCTTCAAATTGGGAACTAATAGCAAAATGCATCAGTTCCTATGATTCTTAGGAATGTTTGTATGTATAGGAAAATATGGTACCTATGATGGGTAAACTTTTAAAAAAGAATATATATTTACAATAATGAGCTGACGATTGATTGGCAAAAGTCAATCTTTCTTTCATACAATGCCTAGGTTATTTTTTTAAATGTAATACTGAAGATGTGACTGAATAAGGAGCAAAAAGGATTATTAAACAAGTAGAGAATAAATCTAATAAGAAACTATTAAATTATGAGAGTTGCATGGAAGCAAGATCAGAGATTGAAGTTCTATTAATAAAATGTCCTGGGAACAAAACCTGGGGAGACAGTAATGCCTTCATTCTTTTTAGTTGCCTTCCAGAAGCATCTGGTTGGCCATTGTAGGAAGGAAGTGAGATCCTGGATCATTAGTAAAATCCAATAAAATTGCTCACATTTTCTTAAACTCTTCCTTTAGAAAATACAACTAAATGTTGATCTTCTAATTTCTGTTTCTGCTTCTTTCTTCAGTTTTCATCTTCTCTCCAGGAAATCAGATCTCTCCAGGTGAGTATTTCTTCCTTCTTGGAAGAAATCCCAACATGGCTGATATGTGTGATGAGCAAGCAAGCAACATAGTTTCTATTTGTACTCAAATGTTGCCAAATTTGAAGGTAACCTCTTCATCTTGGTTGATGATTAAAATATTGTGACAAAACAAGGGAAGAAAATTGCCTTCTTTATTTCCTTGAAACCCTTTGTTGAGTACCATTCCAAGGGTAGAGAAGATGGGTGTTCTGTAAAGATCATAACATAACCATGCTGAAAGAAAATATCCCAGGGAAAGAGAGGCGCTATTTTCACAGGGTGCAAAGCTCACCCACAAACACAATATCCACGATTGCTTCTAACTGCTTTTCATCACATGCCACTGCAAGAGGATTTGTTGGCAAGGGAAATTTAATATCCAGTTTGGGACCCAGGAATTTCATTCTTTGTGCTGAAAGAGGCATGCCCACTGCTGCTGTGCTACAGTGTCACCACTACAGATAGCTTGGCGTTGGACCCAGAAGTAGTATCTTCAAAAGAGTTCATCTTTGTGGTACATACATCCTTACATGATCACTTAATAATGCTGCCACACTTAGCAGCCATGTTTCAAATTGGGGCTTACTTTTAGTGCCTCAGCCAGGTAGTTTTCTTGCTGGTTCCACAGAAGTTTTGGTTTCTCAGATTTTTCTGAGATTTTTCAGACTCCCAGGCATGAGATTCCCAGTCTCCTGTCCAAGTATATTTTGGACCACACTGCTTAGTTTCTGAGAGCTGTCAAACGTTGGCTAAATACTGCCACCTGCTGAGGCAAACCTATGTAAGTAAGTCCACAAATGATTTAGCTAGATCTCCTAACCCCTGAAAGACATTGAATGTGGGACAGAACTTTCAACTTACAAAACTTTTCTCTGTAGTTAACTGGAAGATATTCTAGTCTACTTAATAGTAGCCAAAGTAGTAGCTATTTGCAAGCCTGAATTAATTTGGTTGCAAAGTAGGATGTGTTACTTGAAGTGGATTTTTAAATTAATCAAATTAAAATTAATTTTTTTGCACATGGCACTTCTTCCTTACCCCCAGGCAAAGGATGTAGTGCAGATTTCGCGAGAACTCTCTGATGTGGTTGTATATTGCCGGGCTGTTCCATTCCAAAGCCTGTCTGATGCCCTGCTCCACCAGAAACCTACAGAGATGTCATCATTCAGTGAGCGGAAAGCCAGGAAGCTGATCAAAGATTCAGGTATGGGAAATTAAGTTTTTTGGGATACCAAGGACATTATGATGTGTTGGCTTGCTTTGTGACTCAGTCTGGCTCAGTTGGCTGCGTAAAGTACATTTTAGTCTCTTAAGGGTACAGTCAGAAGTGGTATTCAGCCAGTTCTCTCTGGTTTTGGCGAACCAGTAGTGGCGGCTGTGGGAGAATCCGCCCCTCACCCCCACCCCAACATAATGCATGAGCACTGTGCATGTGCAAAAGGTGGTGCGCATGCACAGATGAGGTGCGTGCAAGCGTAGCAAGCGTGCACATTCACTCACATTTGCCCTGTAGGGAGGGTAAGTGAATCCCATCACTGGGTACAGCATAACCCTGAATATTCTTGATTGTGATAAAAGTAGTGACAATGTTAGTTCTGTTCATACATGACACTAATTTTTAACCCCAAAGGTGCTTTTTCAAAAGGCAACTGGACTTTCGTTGTTTTTCCTTGAATATGTTTTGCTTCTCATCCAGAAGTTTCTTGAATAAGAAGCGAAACATTCTGAAGGAAAAACAAAGTCCCGTTGCCTTTTGAAAAAGCACCTTTGGGACAATCATGATCTGGATGACTGAGAATCTCCATAGAATAATTTTTAATGTGGTTAATTTTTTCAGATATAGCATGAAATGGGAAACTACTTATGATAGCTTTGTATAGTGTCATAGGCTATTATATCTTGTTCATCATATCAGAGTTCTTTGGGGGAAAAAATCTTACAATAACATGAGCTGTGAACCAGCCTTAAAAGTAGTGGTTAAGAGTATAGCTAATATACATCTTCTGTAATACACACACAAACACACACATACTTTCGTAAAAGCTGTAGGAAGTATGTTAACTTACTGCAAAGTCTTGATCTGTAGGTAGCCAGGTTTTAGAGAATGAAAAGGAATACCAGAATATAATCTGCAATATTGTAACCTGCAATAAAATATTCCCAGTGCCCAAACACATTATATCTGGCAGAACATGGATATGATAGTCAAGGAGGACCAAACGGATTGATTTATTCATAGCCTTATTTTCTAGCCAGTCATAGTTGAGGTTGGCATACAAATAGTCCTCATTAAATCTCCACTTATTCAGCAACCACTTGGAGTTGTTTTTTTAATTTATTATTTGATTGATTTTAAAATAGGGACAAAAGAAAGGAAAAAAGAACAAAACAGAAATATATATATATATCAAAAAACAAAGCAAAAAGTGAAGTAAAAAAGCAAAGTAAAAAGATGCAGTTATTGAAATACATGTACATTTCTGATGCAATTATATAACTATCCTTTTTATAACCTGCTGTGTTTTGCACAAATGAGCCCCATATTTCATTATATTTGTATGCACTTGTAGACAATCTGCTCATAGGTGGCAAGTGCAATCAAGTCCTTAACTTTCTGATGTTTCAATATTGATATTTTGTCCATAGTAAGGGCATAGAGAATCCATTTGTGTTGTCCAGTTGTCAAATTCTAAGTATTCAGTATGTAATTCAGAAGAATATTATTGCCTGAAAATCTTAGCTTTTGTCACAGTTACATTTACATAGTTCACTACTTTCCTCCCAAAGCTTAGTAAGTAAAGGACTTACTAAGAAACATATGTTTTAAAGAAACATTATTCTTACTACATCTTCAATAAAATGCTGGCCTAGGCAGTCTGTTTCTATACAGATATAAAAGAGTTTAAGTATTGTTTGTTGTTGTTGTATAAATTACAGTTTAAAGTCTATTGACAGTGGTGGTATGGAAATTAAAACTCAATGTTTATATAGGAACCTGTAATTCTTTATTCCAGTCATTTCTTAGCATATAAATATCAAAATGATTTCTTGATGACCAATATCTATAGAAATTAATATACATGGGTTTTTTTTAGCTTTAAAGGATTTAACAATTTGCTCTAGTATCTTGGGTATTTCCGAAGATGAGAATACTACTGATCTAAACAACATTGTTAGAAAATGTTGTAACTGTAAATATTTCCATTGGACTAAAAGTGTGGAGGCCTGCCAAACTTCAAAGGGAAGAGTGTTTGGTGGGGCAGGGGCTGCCACAGAAGAGAAAGGCTTCATAGTTCCCATCAGACTTTTAGGACATATTTAAAGGAAGATATTCAGAAAGGAGTGGTAGATGTTAGGAGAGCTATATATTTTGGTGTTCACATACCTAGATATTTAATGGATTTGGTACAAATACAGAATTAATATTTCTTAGATCAGGGGTGTAAAACGAAAGGCTGAATCAGGCCCACAGGGTGCTTAGGTCTAGTCCGTGGGGCTGCCCTGGAAAAAGCAAAGGGCCGGCCTGCAATGCTTCTGCCAATAAAAAAAGGAACTCCATTTTTGGCAGGAAGGCCTCTTGTAGCCCTCTGCCAGCGAAAACAGAGCTCTGGGAGGCTGCACAAGCTCCTTTTCACTGACAGAGGGCTGTAGGAGGCCGTCCTATCCAAAAACAGGGTCCTGAGGGCTGTGAATCCCCCCAAAAGCTTCATTTTTGGTGGCAAAGGGTCTGAGCCCCCCCCCCGGCCCTTCCCCCCGACCTCCCCATCCCCAAGGTCAAACACAATCCTGATGCAGCCCTCAATGAAATTGAATTTGACATCCCTGCCTTAGATACTTGTTAAGTATTAATATTTCTTAAATGGATGGCTATTTTTCACCTATTTTGACCTATAGGCATCAGTTCTGAGTTGCACCAGTTGAGAGAATAATTTACTATTTTGCTAAAGGTATCAGTCTTTTGCATCAGTACCGGGATAGCAGTATGAGGCTTACAAATTTTTTTAAAAAAAGAATGTCATCTGCAATAAAACCAATTTGTGTACAGCAATCATTTGAACCATACACATATGATTCCAAAGGAAAAGGTACTTGCAATGGGTTTTTGTAATTGCAACTGATATAATGTCTTTGTGGACATGTGATCTTGATATGGGCACTTGGCAACTAGCACTCAGTTAAAATGTTCTGTGGCTATGAAATTGGTATTTGCTACCTTTGTTGCTGGCTTCCAAGAAGCAAAGTCATTGGGGAAGCCAACAGCAGGTAACTAATGATGATCACGTGACCATGGAATGCCGTCACCATGTGGGATTTGCTTAACCACTGCAACTGGGAATGCTGGAACTGCCGTCATAAGTTGTCATGGTCATGTGACAGCTCACCTTTTGACTATGTTGGTTAGCAACAGAATTCCTGGTCCCAATTATCATTGATAAATGAGGTGTATCTATACTACTCCATCACTGTCAGGTGCATAAAAATCAGCAACAGGACCACTGTCTCTTTCCTTCTTTTTGACCTAACCCTGGAAGCTTCTTTCCTGTCTGCAGGAAACTATTTTGTCCGATACAACACCCGTTACCTCAGCCGTATCTACCCACTGGGTCTGAAGATGAACTCCTCCAACTACAACCCTCAGGAGATGTGGAATGTCGGCTGCCAGATTGGTAAGAACAAAGAGGAGTAATCCATGCCATGCACTTCTTTCCTAGTCCCCTTTTCTCCCACAGTTGCTCTCTCTGTTGGACTTGCTTTGATTTCACAAGTGAATCATAGATTGGAGGAATATTACCCACAGCCCCAATATCTGGGTAGGAGAGATGGGTACTTCCCAGTAACTTGGAATTTTTAAACCTAACAGTAGTCATCCTTGTTTTATCCTGAAAAACTAAAGTGGCTTTGGAGAGAAGCAGGAAGTTGAGCAGCACTGCAGAGTAGCAAAGACCAAGCCTGGAACCACATTATCTAGCAACCTATGAGAATATCACAGATCACTTGGTGTATCTGGCATTGTTTAGATCTTTTGTTTATTTGCTGGAAGAAGTTATCTTATGTAAAGAAAGAACATGGTCCATTGAGTCAAATAGGATGGACGATGATTGTCAGCTTGAGGTCAAAGAGTTAAAGAAACTGACTCTGAAACTATTTGGATTTTAAGTAGGTGCTCTGCTGTTGAGCTGTACACCTTTCCTAGAGGTTTTTAAATAACGTGCAAAGCCAAAGTATTACCCTGTTTCCCTGAAATAAGACCTCCCCAGATAATAAGCCAATCGCATGCACTAAAATAAGCCCTCCCCTGAAAATAAGCCCTCCCCTGAAAATAAGCCCTTTCTGAAAATATTGCAACACAGCAGCAGCCATGAGGTGACCACACTTGCCGCCTCCTGCACCTCTAAAATAATGAGAACTCCCTGAAAATAAGGCCAAGCACTTATTTTGGGGGGTGTAAAAAGAAACTAAAACCCTGTCTTATTTTTGGGGAAACACAGTAAAATGTTTAGTTCTATAGTACTTTCTTTCAGCAGCTTAGATATATTTTGAATTAAATGTAACATGTATTTCTTAGAGCAAATTAATAATCACAAATGAAGACAAATATGTGTCCCAGGATTAATAATAGCAATAGCACTTAGACATATACCGCTTCACAGTGCTTTACAACCCTCTCTTAGCGGTTTACAGAGTCATCATATTGGCACCCAACAATCAGGGTCCTCATTTTACCGATCTCGGAAGGATGGAAGGCTGAGTCAACCTTGAGCCAGTGAGACCCGAACTGCCAAACTGCTGACAGCTGGTGATCAGAAGTAGCCTGCAGTACTGCATTCTAACCACTGGGCCACCGCGCCTCAGTAATAATGCATTAACAGGAGGGAGTATAATGACCAGACATCCTTGCCTTTATACTTCCCAGATCTGCTCCTATTTTATTCCTCATTATTATTTATTTATTTACTTTGAAAAAATTATTTGCTGCCTATCTCATCATGAGGCTATTATAGGAGGTAATTTACAGGAATAAAAAAGAAGTGAATGAAAGGAGTGTAATAGAACTCAGAAAATAAACAATGAAAAGGGAACACAAGAATACGCCAGTATGATAACCAAAATGTTGGATGGACGGAAATAGGGAGCAAGGGTAGGAGATGAGGTCTGTCATCAATCCAGCAGGCACCTCCAAATGTGGAATTCCCACATTTCGTCCCCAGGCCCACCAGAAGAGCCACATCTTCAGGCACTTGCAGAAGGATAGGAGGATGGGTGCAGATTTTATCTTAGAGGGTAAGATGTTCCAGAGAGTGGGCACTGCAGCAGAGAAGGTTCTTCTTCTGGAACTTGACAAGAATTTTTTGACTGATGGGATCCAAAATAGACCCTATATGTTGGCATGAGTAGGATAGGCCTGTCCTAGTGGTTCATCAAGTTGCCTGGAATTATGCCATTAATAGCTCTAAAGGTCATAACCAATACATTGAGCTGCACTTGGAAGCAGACCAATAGCCAGTGAAGTTCGTAGAGGTATAATATGGGCCATGCTAGGCACCCCAAAGGCTGCTCTCCCTGCCACATTTTGCACCAGCTGTCTGTCCTGCTGAATTTCTTTTTGAATGTGCCGGCAGATACAAAGTTTTATAAAACTGCACCATGAAAATATTCCAGTTTCATGATCTGTTTAATCACTTTCCTTTCTATGGTCTTATTTTAGTGGCACTGAATTTCCAGACACCGGGTTCTGAGATGGATTTGAATGATGGGCGCTTTTTGGTGAATGGTCGCTGTGGCTATGTGCTGAAACCTGCTTTCTTATGCAATAACCACAGTAATTTTGACCCCAAGGTTCCCATTCATAGGAGTGGGCAGCACCCTATTGCCCTCACCATCAAGGTATGATAGAATGAAAGATACCCAAATGTTCTTTGAATTGCTTGCTATATGTATTTAGGTGCTTATAAATGGAAAGTAGATGGAACAGTAGACTAACAAGAAACATTATTGCATAAATCCTATTGCTTGGCTTTAATGTCATGACCATAATTAAATGTACTATTTCCTAGTTCTACAGAAACTGAAACACACATACCTTTAATATAAAGGACTTTTGTTTAAGAGTCAAGCATAAAAGGGCTTCCAGAAAATATTTTTATTGTAAAGGATCTTTATTATATTAATAGAATTTTGGAGGGGAGCACCCAGATGATATCACCTTTTACTTATAACAATCATTCTCTACTTTATTATGATTTTGAACTAGTACATAGACCTGCCTTTAGGAGCCTAAAGCAGCATGTGTGGATCTTTACTTCCCTCATTGTATCTCATAACTCTGTACGGTAGTTTGGTTGAAAGATATTTAAAATGTTGAGTTTTTTCTTCTCCCCAAAGACAAGAACTTTGCTAAAAGAGAAAAGACCGAATAGCTAAACAATGGTGTTTTTAAAAAAATAAATACCCCTAAAACTGCTAGTATCCTGGGTTTCTAACTCTTAGGCTGCAGTTATTTCAATATTGACCAATATCCACTGAAATCTCAAGTCCTGGAAAAAGGATTAAATACGTTTTACTGTAGTTGGTGTCAGACTTCAATGTTTCTGATGGAATATATGTTATTATGCAATCCAGATTCATATATTAAATCATGGAAAATAGCTTTGCATCATTTTCAGAGACTGCAGTTTTCTACTTTTCTTGGAAGATATTAAACCCCGAATAAAGAATTTTAATTTGATGATAGCAGTGAACAAATAGCCCTGAATTAGAACATAGGTTCAAAAGAGGACGAGGCTTCTGTACTTTCATTAGCTGTATTGATGCAGGCATTGTGGCAGATATGTAGTTTTGCAAGGGACCCTTCTGCCAAAATTCTCTTTTCTACTGAACAATTATAAGTGTAGGAGCCCTCTCCCTTTTCTGCTTGTTTGCATTTGGTCATTTTAACCAATTAAATCAATGGAAATTAATTCTGATTTTAGGATTGTACCAATTAATATATTCAGCCAATTTTGTGTACATTGTTTGTTGGTTTTTAAGAGTAGCAAAAGAATGCAGAAATGATTATTATGATTCTCCCCCCCCGCTCCTTTCAGGTGATTACGGCTCAGCAACTTCCCAAACTAAATAAAGAGAAGAGTTCTTCTATTGTTGATCCTTTTGTACGGATTGAGATTCATGGAATTCCTGCAGACTGCTGCAAGAAACAAACTGAATACCGGTTAAATAATGGTGAGACAAAGCCTAGGAATTAAAGCAATAAGGAAAAGCAAGGGTGGAGAATTATTGGCTCTACTGGATCCACCCAGCATGATGAATAGTCATGAATTGTGCATATTTAGTTCATCAGCATTTGATGGACCATGATATCCTTCCCCCTCCTATTGAACCAGAGGAGAAACAGAGCCAGAGTTTGAAGAAAATCCCAGGATTAGTTCTTAATATTTCCACATAAAAAGAAAACATGAGTAGCAAGTCTAAAGAAATCCTCTGGACATGCTTTTTGCTTTCGACCTTTATCAGTGAAACAACTTAACAACCACAGGGTCGCTATAAGAAGTTAGTTTGCTTTCCTCCTATTCTCCCTGCTCTGAAAATCCTGGGTTATCTTCACGAAAAGTTTTGTGCTGACCTAACATGCAAAGAACTTCTCCTATGCAGGAAGACCTAAAGCCATTTCCAAATTTTTAGTGAGTTGACATTATGATAGTATTATGAGGACATACTCCCAGCAAGAAGTGGAGCAAGCTTCGTGTTGCGATAACAAAATTGTGTGGGTCTTTCAGATTCTTGGTTCATCCTTTTCCTTTCAACAGAATTGGGAAGAGGTTATTGCAGGTGAATGTTTAGCCAAGTGTAGGATAAAGCAACATCTTGTATCCACCCAATGCAGTAGTTACATTTATTTAAATGACATTATCTGTTGAATGCAAGCATTTTGTCAAAAACAAATTGTATGTGAACTTGAAAATTTATAAACAAGACTATGAAGTGGAGAAAAATGTCAAATTCAAAATTCTGGAAAAAAAACAACTCTCTGAAAATTTGCTAGAGTTAAAGCACTTCTTAGTCAGTATAGGACTGTAGGTTATACTGGAATCTGGCTTTAACAAACGATCTCCACGCTATTTCTCTCTTGAAATTCTACTTCTTGGATTTTCCCTCTGCAGGATTCAACCCATGTTGGAATGAGACATTGATGTTTCAGATACAAGTTCCAGACCTGGCACTGGTGCGCTTTGTAGTAGAGGATTATGATACAACTTCCTCCAATGACTTTGTGGGACAATTTACATTGCCATTGCCCAGCATTAGGGAAGGTGAGTGTTTTTCTTCCAGAATCAAGAAAGCTTGAGTAGGGTGTTGTGCACTCTCTAGAAGAGCCTGATGGTAAACCGCCTAGAAGTTGCAGAAATTCTAAATAATTTTAGATTAGTTGGTTTTATGTCTGATTTAGTGGACTTTAGATCTGTTGAACTGATCTACAACGATAAAGTACCAGCCCTGATGGGCTCTACATAGACGTTTGCCTGTAGAACAAGTTCCTTAAGTGAATTTAAACAATGGTACAAAGCCAGATGCTTCAAAGAAATTTTCAGTATTAAACCATTCCAACAATTATATTTCAGACATTTTAGGATCAGAGGCTGCAGAATTTGCAAATTGCTACATTTGGTATGACTCCCAGACACATCAGATTGCAGATTTATTTCGATTATTCTGTGATTTAAATTCTCAGAACTGGCTATGAGCTACATGATAAAATAATGAGTTTATATAACAGAAAAGGTCACGTAGAAGAAATATATGCTATTTAGTGAGCACCATAGACCCATTCTCAGAGATCTTCCTGTAACTTTCTCTTCAGGCTACCGGCATATCCATTTGCTTTCCAGGGATGGTACATCCCTATCTCCAGCTACACTTTTTGTACATGTTAGATGCAAGAAGATGTGAAAGCTATAATAAAGGTTCGATTTGGAAAATGTGAAAGTGGATTGAGAAGGTCCAATCAGCCCTCAGAAGAATGGATGAACAGCTGTACTAATTCAGGATGCCACCTGCTATTAAATCAAGTGAGTTCGGAGCCACAGAGAGGAACCAAAATGTTGCAGCCAGAAGAGCCAGGCTGAGAGAACAGCGTGGTGTCAATCCTCACTTGAATATCCAAGCTATTTTATTAGAGTCATAATTTAAGATTCTTTGTGTAGTTGAAGCTAAAAGCTATGCAGCCTAAAGACTCCTAGAATGCTTTCCCATTTTTTCTGAGTAAATATTCCATCTTATTCTCTTCTTTGCAGTGGCCTGCAAAAAATATACACTGGGGGTAGGGAATTTTTTGTATTATTTCTTTGTAAGTCACAATAGAAGCCCAATGAAAAGATGTTATGTGATATCTTGCAAACTTGGGATAGGTCCATTGAAATCTAAGGATGTGAGATAGATTGACTTGTGACCAAGATTAATGAGTGAAGGTGGTGTGATCTTTGTTGCAAAGGCCTAAGAGAATGAAATGTGACCCATAAATTGAACTGAGGAATTTGAGTTAGCACAACTGATTTGGAATCTGGTTGAGTATATATGCACTTTGACAGGCCAAAATGGAGACTGGGCACGAAATTTAGATCTTTATTTGTTTAGGAAACAGTCTACTACATATAGCCTATAACTTTTAAGACAGAAGATTGTAGAATTTAATTAGAACCCCAGGAGTATCATAGATATATGAAAATTCAGCACTTCACTTCATCTACTTGGTTAGCTTTTCCTGATACTCCAGGACAATTTAAATGAGATTTAAATACTAACTGACAAATTAGTATTAACTTGCTATTCAAGTTAATCTTTATTCTAGACAAACACTAATAATTATTCTTAAGTTTATTTTGATACATCACATAGATTGATATGAGGAAAATGAGTACTCCTACATATTCTCAAGACTCATTTGTGGAGAAATGTACTTTTAGAAATTAGATTTGAAGCAGTGCACTATTTTTCCCTTATAACTTTTCATTGTAAACTATAAAAAAATCACAAGAGCATTAAGGATGAAATTATTTTTGCTATATTGTTTCTCTTGGTGAATTTGAAATAACACTATATAGCTTTAGAGCATTTAATCTTTCGGTACAAATTAAAATCAGCTGTTGGCAGCTAGTGGATGTTTTGGCAATTGCTAGTTAAGCTGTCACAATGCATCTCAAAGGATTTTATACTATAGTCTTACATTATTCTACTTCTACTGGAAGTCATCAAGTTAATCACTGCCTCTCAATATTACCTTTTACAAGATTGTTCTTATGAGGCACACACACACACACACACACACACACACACACACAAGCTGTTTTGAGTTATTAGAGGAAAATCAGTCTATAACAATAATTTAGCGAGGTTTTGTTCAAGAGAGCAATTACAAGGGTATAGTTTTAATTGAGGTGGTTTTTTTTACCCTTTACTGCAGTTTGGATTAGATGGAAGATAAATCCGTTGGAAAATTTTAGTATGCACCCATGCTTAAGCTATGTACCATAGCTTCACAGTAAATATTAAGGTGTCATAAAAGAAAAAGAGTAATAACTCATTTAGTGTGGTTTTTTTCATAGCATTTCAGGTAGCATATTTTACTTATGAACATTTTCAACAAAGCTTCAAGTAAAATTCTTTAATGATAGTTAAAGTCTCTGACTATGCTCAGATTTTTAGCAAAAACACCAGACACCATCAAGATGTCTGTTTGGCTGCTGCTCCTATTTCACTTTTGGCTCAGCAGATTCTCCTTTGCAAACCCCGCCCCCCTTTCTGATTTTTCTAGGCAGATTTCCAAACTATGACCATTTCCTTCCTATGTTCCTACTTACAACTAGATTCACTTCATGAAGCAGCAGCTGCTTACTCTCTTCTATTTCTGGATAGCAGAAAGCTTGTTTACTACAGCACTTTAGATCTGTACTCTCATTTGGGAGATAGATATTCTCTTTTAACTTGGGGTAGAAAATCTGAGACATCAGTCCTGACACAGCAAGGAAGAGCAAGGCTATAAAATTGGTCTAGATCTATTGTTAGACAAGTTCAAACTTCTCTTTTGAGTCTGATTTAGGCTGCTATCAGAAGCGTAAGGATCAGGTTTCCATATTTTTCTCCTATAGTATTTGTAAAAATAAATAATGGGCATATCCTTACCTTATGGAATAGTGTGAGGATGACTAACCAATGTCTGGTCATGCAGCATGCATTTCAATCTCTTGGCAACAATACAGCATGCAAGACAACATAGGGCAACAGGAAGGGGGTTTGAATAGTAGCTACACATAACTTATAAAACAGAAACCCATTACTGCAGTTTTCAAAAATTAGTCTAAATTGGCCTCCCACCCAAGAAGCAGTGTGAGATTGGCCTTGAGTCAAATTCCAACTTTACTTTAAAACAGTGTGACTTTATGAAACAGGGTTCAAATGTGGATGGAGAAGCAAACTACCCATATTTCTTGAGATTTTCAGAAGAAAGTGGATTATAAGTTTAAAAATTAATAAAGTTTTTTTCCTGGACATTCTAGATTTTCCTACATAGATTGTGACAAAGTGATCAGATCAAATTCAGAAATGATTTAAATACTTGAAACATTATGTTTGCTGTATATCTTTAATCCTGTATGTTCTATGATGTGTAGCACTAGATAAAGTTCACTTTTGAATTTAGCACATTTTTGCTGGAGCCTATTTAAACTGAATGCAATTTACAAATCTAGACCTGGCCTCTCTATGCACAGAAGTTTCTCAGAAATACTGACATGTGTTCATGTCCTACCCCTCTTTTCCAATGAAAAAAGGACCCCTATGAGTCTTTTTGTAATTATCTATGTATTAATGAGACTTTTGTTTGTAATGTATTTAATAAGTAAAAGGATTTAGTCAGAGAAATATTTAAGTTCCATGGAACACCCGAACAAGAAAAAGAATAAAGTTGTAATTGCTATGATGAATTCTGAAGCATCAGTTCCTTTAATGTGTGTGAAATTTGGGCAATACTGATTGGGATAAATTTGTATTTTTTTTAATGTTGCTCTAGCTTCTATATACAAGTTTAGCCACAAGAGTTTTGTTTTGTTTTTGAAAAGCAGATAAGATCATACATATGGTTTTCCTCCCTAAAATTCAGATTTCCTTGGGTTGTGCACAAATAAAAGCTTTTCTCCTATTTGCCAAAACGTATTTGAAAAATGCTAAGTACTTTGTAAGGCAAGTATAGCTGAAATATATTTTACGGAGAAAGCCACTCACATTTCCATGTGCAAATGTCTAAGTCAAAATTCATCTTCTGGTCATAAAATTTATTCAAATTGTCTGAAAACTTTATACCAAGGGAACAACAGCAGCACTTTGATCAAGGTGTATAGCTGAAGCCTGTTATATTTTTCTTACAGAAATTGAGAAGCAAATTGAGAAGCTTAAAGGGGAAAATGTTTCCACAGTTGATTTTTCCCCAACTGGCATGATGTCTTCTTTTAGAAACATAATTGTATAACTATGTATTAATAGGAGAGATGATTTATCAATCTGAGATGGCTGTGGTATTTTATTATAAGTAAAGTAACTACACATCACTTAAGATTCTATACCTGGATAGAAAGGAAGTCTAACATTAAATTAGAAGTTTGCTCAAACCCAATTATCCTTGTTCTTGCAGGCTAGCTCATCAATTAAATTATATAATCCTGCTAATCAGTATACTTTAGGAAAACCTGCTTCCTTATATAAAATGAATCAAATTTTATTGTGTGTTGTTTCTCAAACAGCATTATTTTGAAGGCAACCTTCTTACCATGTCACGGGATTAAGAATTATCCACTCTCAATAGACTCCCTATTCTTTACACAAGTCACTTTTAATTGCAAGTTATGAAAGGCAGAAGAATCAACCCACGTTATGCAAATAGTAAATTATGAAAATGTTGTTCTCCTAAATCACTGCATATGAAATTATTGAATCACTCAAATATACTTGATATATCCTTAATTATTCAGTAGATGCAGGATGGAAGGAGGTCTAAAATACAGGGTCTGAAAAAGTGAACAGTAGAACGTGGAAGAGTTTTCAGGCATGTTGGTAGTGTGATGCTAAGAAATAATGATCCGCTGTCTTGTCCAATGGATTGACAATGTATTTATGTCAAGTCATGCTTGAGCATATTAGAGAAGTCTTAAGTGCATCCTATTGATACAGGAACTTATACAGTGGGATTGTACTTGCACTAATTTCAACTAGCACATTATATCTGCCCCTGTATTTCTGCCCTATCCTAACAACTACTGCATTGCTATTATTATTATTTCTATTTTTAGGATACAAGCTATTTTTTAAATTAATGCTTATGCATTAAATGTGCCATTTCTTAAGATGGGATTCTATAATTGGTATCTTTGATGAAAATTAAGTTCTCAAGTTCTCCCTCATGAAGCACAGAAGGGAAAAATAGGGTTGTTAAGCATTTCTTACATTCAGCAAATGCTACAAAGGGATCACAACATGCACAAGAGACCCGGGACTCAAAAGTTATCATCGACACGGTTCACATTCAGAACTGTAACAGAAATAAAAATAAAACTACAATAACCAAATAAAAATACCAGAATTTGGTCTTCCTAAGTGTGTTCAGAATCTGAATTCAGAAGCAAATCTGCAACATAAACAGATATTAGAACTGAAGCTTTCAAGAGCATTGTTTTCTATGTTTCCCACATAATGTATGGGAATAATTATATCCCAAAAAAGTTATCAGTGAATTGTCCATAAAAGGCAACTTGGACACGTAGCAAAGGCAGAGAGATCATATTGAAGTTTTATTATTTATACTGCTGTTACTGAAAATTAAGCAAACTATGCAAATAGAAGGAATTTTTAAAAAAGTGTAGATCTCTTTCATTAATTGAAAGGAATGACACAAGAAATGTTCAGGTGTTTTGGGAAAATATAATATTTTCCCACAAGGTTTGTTTTAAATTTCCAAATTGCCTTTTTTCTCCAAAGTAAACAAAGGGCAATATATAAACTCTTGAATTAGGAATTTTGTGCTATCTGTGTTGTCTATATTTTATCCGCTAATCATCACATTGATGATGCTTACTAAAAGTCATATAGATACGTGCACCTTAATTACACTATTTTCCCTGAAATTAAAATATCTATAATTACAGACATATCATTATGCCAATAAACTAATCTGTGCAAGATAAATTAACCTTGATTTACACAGCATGAGCCAAGCCTTTCACTGACAAAATGAGATGAGACAATACTAACCTTCCTAGTCTCATACGAATCATCTTTTGAAAGATTTTTTCACTTTTTGTTGTCATATCATATTGTGGCATGATAGTTTGAAATAGTGCACTGGAAAGGCCCTCCTCCTCATGGGTCCTGCTGCCTGGACTGCTAGGAACTATAGTGCAGTGTACTAAACTCATTTAACAATTGCTTAGCTTGCAAGTGGGAATGTTGTGCTCAACTGTGGTTATTAAGTCAAGGACTGGCCTATATAGCCTAACTAACATTTATCTCACCAACAAAGTTATTACATCCAACAAAATATATTGAATACATTTTGATTATAGTTTGCCATTTTCATTCTAGCTTGTTTGGTATTTTCTGTTCTAAGTTTTTATGTGAACACTAGCAAAATTGCTATATGTATTTAATCCACTAGCAGAGCTTCTGATTTTATCAGCCGATTTTCATTGCAGGAAACGGTCATAAACAGTTCTTTTCAAAGCTAGACAATATAACTTGATTGCAAGACGAAGAACTAATGTTTAGAATAGTCGATGTGTTAAGATACTATAGCTAGAAAACAAATGGAGATCAGAATTGACAGAGAATAGCTACAATTTATGATATTAAATATCCCCCAATAACAATTTCATGGAAAAAACTGGAGAATTTCCCCAACAAAACCAAGAATGGATTCCATAAACCAAAAGCCACAAACTCTACATTTGGTTATTCAAACATTATACTATAGTTTTATTAGTGCACATCCAGGGAACAATAGCTGGGATTCATACCCCATTCCACCATGAAGTAAAGATCATCCATCATTAAAATAGCCCTTTGGTTTTTAAAAGAAAGTTGTCTTAACAAGGGATTAGAATTAAAAAGGCCATAGTGCTATGTAAAAACTGAAAGCTAGCTTTAAAACTTCCATTAACTAGGCCAATTACATACTGCAGCTCAGAATCATTTTTGCCTCACAAAAAGAGGGAATACACCTCTTTTGGGAAGAGGGAATGCACTGTACTCTTCTGACATAAATCCAAAGAGCTAAAATTTTGGTCTTTTTTTTTTAAAATCATAATAAACCACCAGGCAATTAATATTTCTTTCAACAATAATTCTAAGATTAAAAAGCTATGCTGCCTGATGGTACCACCCCATTTTTCACTTCAGATGAACAGCAATCATTGTTAAAATATAGAATATATAATATAATTTTTATTATTATTCACCCGTTAACTCCAATATATGCCAATTGTAAAATTGTGAGCTAGTTCTCAGCAGTTACATTCCCTTGATCATGTTGTATGAGGAGAAGTGGGAGGGGAAAGGCCAAGAGCTGGCAGAAATACACTGGTGTGCTCAGTGGCACATGATACAATCATCAGAAATGTCAGGTCACATAGCAGTGGGCACCAGCTCCTCCCCAGGACTCTGTCACTTCCATGGAACTCTGAACCATGAGGACGGCAGTTCCATGCTGGCAATTGGCCCCAGCCATCAGTTTCCGCCTGCCCTTCTTCGGAGAAAATTTGTTATTGCAGCACCAAGCCAACCTATAGAAAACGTTCAAGATGAAAGGAAGAGTTAACAAGTATTTTCGTCCTTTTGACTCAGCAGGTCTATGCACAACTCACCTGATGGGTGAACCCTGCTTTATACTCAAAGCAGGTTGTCTCTTGAATACTGAAAAGGGGTTCAATAATCAGTGCTGGCCTATTTTTTTTCAGATTTTACTTATGCATAAACATACAAATTATTTCCTCACACAGCATTCTTTCTCTTATACATATTCACACAGAGAATTATTAAATGTCTGAAAATTAAGGCTTTCCATGATCTGTCTGCATAAACATACAAATCATTTCCCCACACAGTATTCTTTCTCTTATACATATTCACACAGAGAATTATTAAATGTCTGAAAATTAAGGCTTTCCATGATCTGTCTGCATAAACATACAAATCATTTCCCCACACAGTATTCTTTCTCTTATACATATTCATATAGAGAAAGATAAATTGTTTGTGGGATTGGGCTCAGCAAGCATAAACTTAAGCAGCTTACTTTGTAGTAAAAAAAACCCTAATTTCCATGAGTGTTACTCCCACATAACATATAAAAGCTGCTGCTATACTATTGAACTGTTTTTCCTTTTGTCTCTTTCTTTCTTGGAGGGATGGAAGACTTATGCCCTCAGAGTGCAAGCACAAAGAAATCTATGCATGCTTATTCTGTAGCAAGTCCCAAGATCCATTAGCCTTACTGCAGGATAAGCATGCTTAACACTTCCAGTTTTGTTCATTCACTGCACTAACTCTATACTCCTATTCTTGCCTTTTGATGAACATTTGGGATGGAGAAACTTTTATCCACACAGACTCCACTATTTTCTCAGTGTTCTTATCAGTATAAGATAAGAACTCTCTCTACATGCTGTCTATATGTACAAGGCATAAAAAAAGGCACATGGCTACTATGCTGATCTAAATTTGCAATGAAGGAGATGCAGCAGGTTTCCTCACCACTTCTTTTCCACCCTTGTCTTCATTTGCACTTTTTGTCCACATACATTCATTTCCTTTCAAAGAAACTTCCCCTACCACCATATTTTCAGCAACACCTGGGATAGTGCTTCTCTTACTTTTGCTTTAGTCACTCACTTTTATTATTTGCATCTCCCACAAAACTGCTGGTTTTCAACCTCTTTCTCTAGTACTCCATTTTCAGTGAATTTAAGACTCCCCCTAATTCTTTGGTTCTTCTGAGGTAATTGCACTAAGTAGACAAGCTCTGTTCTATGGGATTACATTGCAGCTGTCGCTACCTTTCCTCTCCAGCAGCAGATATACCTGTCCTTTATGTGCCTCGATCTGGGTAACAATTTTAAAGTTGTATGGGCAACTTTTTTCATGTCATTTGCCTAACCTAACATACAAGAGGCAGGATTTTACCCACCTTTTCTGCTCCCATGCTGGGGCATTTCCAATTGTAGAAGTAATACTGCAAGTTTCCATCACCAATTCCAAATTTCAGCTTTTCCAGGAAGGTCTTGTTTTCCATAAGATCCAGTGCATTAAAAACATCAAAACCCTTCTGCAAAAAGAGGCAGTTAAATAAAACTTGGTGAGTATATACTTTGTAGCTCCATGGTAGTAAGAAGAAACACATTTTGCTCAATTGTAGCAGAATTTCATTTTTTTAAAAATCAATTAGTGAGCATTTTGCATTTTTGTCTCTCAATCTCTTAAAGAAAGATTGATTGCATTAACACCACCACCCCCATAAATGCTACAGCATTTAGAAGCAAACCAAGAAAGAAACTCACCAATTTGGCCAGTATGAGAGCATCATTCATGAGGTCAATAAGAGGTGTTTTGGTGTGGACGTTGTAGAATGAATAGGCTGCCTTCAAACTCTTGTGTGTAGGATGGTTCATAATGGTGGAGGGCAGTGTATAAAAACTCAGGAAATCTGTCACCTTCCCATCAGTGTTCTGGTGAAAACAATTAAGATTCTTTAGAATTAATTTTTTTCACCCTTCAATCAGAGGAAACCAACTATAATGCTAGCACTATCATCAGCTATTATGCCTGTTCTCCACACTTTAGCATAGTAAGGAAATTTGCATGGCATTTCCGCCCTTTTTGCATGTGATTCTGGCTTAAATGTGAAACAGAATGAATAGGAAATCAGGCAGAAAAGCTCTATGTACCACTTCAGACTGCAGGTGGTGAAAATGCAATTTTTGAATTTTCTGTTCTTTTTCTCTCTCCCATTCCCCGTCTCAAGTTTTAGGATTTTGAAAAATAGAATACATTTCTTTAGGATCAGAGAATTTTAAAAATGGTGTTCAATTTCTGAAATGGTAAAATATAATTGATGGCCTCAGAATTCCACCACTTCTTTCACTTATATCTGTAGGTTTCTGCTTAAATTGCTTTAAATCCAAACTTTTTAGATATAGCAGTGCCCAAGAGCACCATTTACTTTCTGGATTGTTGGAGCTTCCTGCCCCAAATATTTGTCATCCAAATCAGCTGGTCATCAACTCCCAAAATGCTCAGTCTCAGTCATATTAGCTGGGCATTATAGAAGTTGATGTCCAACAAGACATATGAAGAGTGTTAGGCAAGGAAGACGGTTTTGCATTTTCAGGATTGTTTCTCTATTTGGACATACAGCCAGAATGTAAACTGACCTTTCTTTCTTTCTTTCTTTCTTTCTTTCTTTCTTTCTTTCTTTCTTTCTTTCTTTCTTTCTTTCTTTCTTTCTTTCTTTCTTTCTCTCTCTCTCACACACACACACACACATACACACACTCCCTCCCCCACCTCTCTCTCATAAACCCTCTGCTGGTATATTTCAAAACATAAGCACTNCTCTCTCACACACACACACACACATACACACACTCCCTCCCCCACCTCTCTCTCATAAACCCTCTGCTGGTATATTTCAAAACATAAGCACTCTGCTGGTATATTTCAAAATGATGGTGAGCTGATTGGACTAACAAAAAAAAAGCCCTCACCTCAACAACAAATGTGTCAATGATGTTGAGCTGGGGCAAAAACCAATGCTCCACTTCTTCTTCAGTCATCATAGGGGACAAATGGAATTGTTTCAAATATTCTGCCAGAAGTTTGTGCACAGCAGGGATATCTTTGCGCTCCATTTGCCGTAACCCCGGTGTCTTAGTAGTCTAGAAAGAGATACAATTCATTCATTTAGAAACACTCTATATTAATTAACTCATTTGGTTGAGGATGAAGGGAAATGTTCCTGTCAGTTTTCAAGCTACATTTGAAAGACTCTCAATGAAATACTATTCCTTAATATTACATCAGCTTTGCATGCAAACAATCCTATATCTCAGTCAATCTCTAACAACTCTATAAAAATAGTACGCTACCTGTCAAGGTGACAACACTGAATTAGAAGAACTCAATTTACTAATATTATAAATTGGGTCTGCTCCTACAATTTCTTGATTTTAGAAGCACAGAAGGAGCTGGTCAAAGAACATTTAAATCTAAATACCTTGCTAAGATGGGAACTAAATTGCATAATTCACACCATTGTGCAATCATTACTAGGGGGAATGTTGTCTGCAAAGCTAATGATCCAGAAGAGGACAAATCACACACACACACACATTTTCCCTTCCATTCCAAGCTATCGGCCAATGTAATATAGTGAACAAAATTCTAAAAATGACCACAGTTTTAGTATGAGGGTAATAATTTTCTCATCATTCCCTATATTGTTTCTGGATCTGGATTCTCAAAATATCTTGATAGCCATTTTCTTAATGAATTAGAAACAAATTTTCTGGAATAGAAGAGAGCTCCCAGGAAGTGTTAATGCTTGTGTTTCTATAAAAATCAGATTTTCTAGCACAGAATATTTTATCCAGATATGAACTAAACAATAATATCTGAGAAGATTCAGCAGTGCACTGGTAACCAAAATTATTTAAACACATCTCATGGTGATATGGAGAACTACCTCCTCATAGAAGACGATGAATAAAATGGGAAAGACAGAACAATGCTTCATGTAAAAATGCATCACTTAATGTTTCCTATATATCAGGAGTGTCAAACTTGCGGCCTAAGGGCCAGATGCACCACATGCTGGCTCCGGCCCTGCCTGGTTTAGCGAGGGGGAGGGGAGCCTGATACATCATGTGACAACACTGTGACGATGCAAATTTGACACCCCTGCTGTAGACTCAGGCTCCATAGGAATTATTATTTCAGTTATCTTTTGTGGGATAAAATAGTTATTTTGAACATGCAATAATTTGCTCTGCTACACTTTGGGAACATCATTTTAGATAATTTCTGGAACTCCTGAAGAAGTGAGATGCAGAATATAGCAAAGCAAAGTACAAACACAACCCTATGCCAACATGAAAGACAAAATATTTTTCAGCACTGAAAGTGCAGCTTAAATATAACTCATGAAATATTCCCCCTCCCATTAGATTTGACTGTTGTTATGTTTTTAAATTCTGAGTGACACTCTCAGAAACTAAGTTTGGAGGATAGGTGAAAGATGGTCAGCAAGATGGAAAATTTATTGAGCTTCTGTTATAAAAAGAACTTTTTAAGGTAGCATCCCAGTCAATAACCACACACCTCGGGAAGCCGATAAAGCTTCATGGTGCGTTGCATAGTCATGTTCCTACTGAGGTGGGAAAATTTGACTTCAATCAGCTTGCGTGGATTCAGTGACCGATGCCAATACCTATTTAAAAAAAAAAAGGCAATATCCTAGGTTATTCATTCTATTCATATGGTGTTTTTCTTCAAGTGTGTGTGTCTGTGTATGTGTGTGTCTTGGAATCTTGAAACCTATCAACAAGGCTTAGCTCAATATTAGAACTATATTTTACATTCAAAAGGGGAAGTATATATATTTTTCAACAAATTCCAAGAACAATGAGCAGCTGCCAATCTAAAACGTGTTTCCTTTCAGAGCCAAGGTGGCCCAGTGGTTAAATGCAGCACTGCAGGCTACTGCTAGATCAGCAGTTCAGCGGTTCAAATCTCACCGGCTCAGGGTTGACTCAGCCTTCCATCCTTCCGAGGTGGGTAAAATGAGGACCCAGATTGTTGGGGGCAATATGCTGACTCTCTGTAAACCGCTTAGAGAGGCCTGAAAGGCCTATGAAGCGGTATATAAGTCTACTGCTATTGCTATTGCTATCTCATATTCATCATATTCCCAGTCACTCAGGATGTTAAAAGTTAAACTACTTTCTTAGTTATAGTGATACATCTAGCATTTATCTGTTCCCATCCACTGCAAAGTCTACAGTATCAGAAAACTTGGTACCCCCTCCCTCTCTTCTTCATAATGAATCTGTTTGTATTTACTGGCAGAGAAATGGAAGAAGTAAGTCTAAACCTCTATTTTTTATTTTTTAAAAAAATGTACTTATTTAATCCTACTTGTATTATTTTTACAAATTATGCAAGGCATTGAAAATATCCAATATACCTTCCTCCTCCTATTTTTTCCACAACAAGAAGCCTGTGAACAAGATGCCCATGTCTAACTCATGGAGACAGACACAAAATTGATATTTAATTTTGCAAAGCAATCTTCACTTCTCACTCCAATTAACTGGTGGGCTATTGAGAATGACTGGCTTAAATACTGGCCCTACTGTTTCCAAATACACACTGCTTTATTTTCAAGCTATGGTAATTAGTTAACCAGCCAGGCCAAAAACCTCCATGTTCTACTTCAGTAACCTATGCCTAAAGAAAATGTTGTGTGACTCCAGTCTGTTTTGCAGTATGTAAGGATTTTTCAGCTCAAACGTTTCCTCTCTTGCTCAATAATTATCTTTTTTGGTTGAGGACTACTTTTCTTTTCATTTTAAAGGGTACATCTAAGAGATGAGTTTTTAAGCAATATAAGGTAAACAAAAATAAAACATAGAGGGAAATAAAAGAAAAGGAAAGAAAACCAAGGAATCGGTGCTTACCTGCATGTCCCAACAGGCTTTGGTAGAACTACACCAGCTGTATATACAGCCTGAAAAATCCCTTCCAAGTGGACTCGTCGGGTGATCTCCCGAATCAGAACAGGTGCCACCCTTTTGGAACGCAGTTTCTTGTGCACACAAAGGAAGTTTATTTCTACCATTTTCTTTTCCCTTTAATGGAAGAGGGGAAACCATTACCCACTACTGCCTCTCACAATTTGGAAAGCAAACTGGAGGAATATAAAAAAGATGCATTTCTGTATTTGCCAAGACTACATCTTTTTCTTCTCTCCATTTAAGAGCCTAAGATATGCTATCTCTCTCTACACCATAGAGTTACATTCTCTATTTCTGGATGTTTACATTGTCATACATTTATATGCTTTTTAAAATGGGAGGACTTGGGATTTAAGCCTTCCACAAAGTCTTGCTCATTTATTCCACTATAATACCTGCAACAAGAAGCTCTAAAGCACTCTATAAATGCACAGAGTCCCTAATTTGAAAGAATACAGTGTGAGTTTACTTTTTTTGTTCAGTTCCAAGCTCCAAGTAACTCTCATCAAGGAAGAAAAGAAGGAAGAGTGAGAAGGAGAGAGGCAGTTTGGGAATGGCAGCTCTTCAGGGCATAAACAGAGAAGTGTGACTTGACTTACGTTTCATATATGAGGATAGCAGCTGGAATAGCACTAATGAAGCCAACTAACTTCTTGCTTGAGATCACCCTGACACCGCAATGCCATTGGGGAAGCCAGCCCGGAGGACGCAAAGCCCTAGAGAAAATCCACAATGTTGTAAAATAAAATGTTTTTGATTCAAGAACCTGCCATTTAACACAAGACATTTACAGTGGCCAGAAGATGGAGCCATGTATGCCAGCATTAGGCAGACAAAGGAAATTTTTTATGTGTGAATCTCATAGGAAAGAGAACCTTTAGGCATTTAATAACACAATACAAACTTCCCTGTCAACAAATTGTTTCACTTGCCTGCTTTTCATTCATAAGGATTCCCTGCATGAATTAAAAGCAAGTCTATAAAAGAAACTATGGGCTAAAATTACATAGCACTTGCAGAAGACAATTAGAAGACTACTTTTTCTTCATGGGAAACTAACTGTGTTTCCAAAATGACAAAGGGTAGGGCAGCCTCTCGCTCAAAGGCCCAACATGAAAGCCAAAGAGGCTAGTAAAAGAAAGATGGAAGAGTCATCCTTGCTTTTTTAGTCCATCGCAGCAGAGAAAAGAAAGTTTCTTCCTTAATAGCCAATAATAAAACTGAGTGAAATGGAGCAAGTTGGCTGGAGAAATCCCAAAATATTGAATGCCAAGGCTGCCAAATAAGAGAACAAATGCAGTACTAACACAAGGTCTTATTCCAATAGCCATTTTGATTCAACCCTAGCTAATACATCCATAGTAGGTATGTTAAAAACAAATCACTGGGCCCTAATAAAGCTGCCAATATGGGATTACTGAAAGAGGTACCATTTTGAACAATAAAGAAAGCTTAGATTTACTTTTGTTTTTCTTCTGACTAACTCTGATTTACGTGAACTGATAGTAATAAGCTTAGGCTGTCCCTATCTAAAGAAGGATCATCTTATTGGCAGGATCTCACTTAAACTTTAAAATGTCTTTTCCCACCAACTCAATTTAAATGAATATAGAAGGGAAATCTATTCCACTAGCTTAAACACTAATATGAGCAGTTCTTCTTAGTGGGCCCTTTTGTCACACAGAAGAAAGAAACGACTGACTTGTCAAATGTTTACCTGAAAGAAACAACAGCCGCTCATTCACTATATGCAAGGACCCCCAAAGTAGGACCCCATCATAGTTTTCAGATCTTTATTTAAAATACTATGAATTGTCTATGCCTTTTTTTCTAATGTTTTCCTTTCAAGTTATGCATTGAACTAAATTACTTTGCTAGAAGCAGCATTTCAGCCTGTGAACCTGTAAGTGGAGACTTGTTTCCTATATAGATAAAAATAGGTTTGCCTAATGCAAATAAGAAAGATTATTCTATCTCCCGCGAAAGGGGATTTCAGTCTTTTCACAAAAAAAGATTTTAGGGAGTAGTTAACATGTTAAGATGAACACAATGAATCTACTCCCCAGCACTTGGAGAAAACCTCTGTGTTATATTTGTTGAAAGGAAGTAGTTTATCTTTATGGTCTTCTGTATAAGAAAGAAAAGTGGACAGATACCTCTGAGATATTCAGGAAAAACTATAACTCACCACAGGAGAAATTCAGGGGAATAATCAAACCTAAACATGTTGTCATCATCTTCTACGTAGTTTTCATTCAGGAGAGTATACAGTTCCTTCAGCTAAAGAAAGTAAAAAGGAGAAGCATAATCTGCTTAAGGAAGCAAAGCTTTCTCTATTAAGAGAAAACAGGGCACCTGCTGATTATTAGAGATTCATTGTGGAGAAAACAACCAACACACTACGGCAGAGTTAGAAATGGCTATAAGAAAAATTTGCTTCTGACAATGGATTTTAGCAAATAATTTTTATCCAATTCCAGTGAAGCAATAAAATCCACGGATTTACAGCACAGTTTGTGCATAAAATTTCAAACCAGTCCCAAAAGGAGCAGTTTTTAAATTATAAAAGTATAAATCAACATTGGCTCTAAGGTAAGGAGGCATTTCATATTCTCAACACATGAGATTCTGAGTTAAACTGTGACACAAATGAGTAGAATATGAATAGAAACTCAGAGACAGCAGAATCAAGCAAGCGAGTCAAGCTAAACACTACAAAATGAAATTGCAAAACAATTCTGCAAAAGAAGCTTTCACAAAGTCTACAAAAGAAACTGTTTTTAAGGTTTCTGAAGGCGGCTGAGAAAGAGAAGAGGGAGTATAGTTGAACAAAACAAAGAGGGCAGGTGCAAAAGCAGCTATATCAATCACTTGTGTCTAATGCAGACAAGAGAAAAAAGGAATTTAGGATCATTAATAAAATGTTTGAGAGTTCAATTTCAAAAAAACAGGACTCTAAAGCTGATGCTAGAGGAAGTGATGAAACATCATAATAGCAGAAAGAGGGGTGAGAGGAGACAATAGTTTAAAAAAGAAATTTAAAGCTTGGTTAGTTGTGCCTCATCCCTACTCACCACACCTCGGTCCCCCAAGTCCAGGGCATCCCACATAAAGCCCTGAGGCAAGGTATAAGGCTCCTGACGGATGTTATCCTTGTCTGGTTCAACAGGTCCATGAGTGTTTACTACCTCACCTGACAGAAGGGAAACAAGAATGAAAGCAAGTTGTCTCCATATGTGAGAATTCACTCTCCGATAAACATTCCTAGCCTTGCCTAGTCAGTCTTTATGTCTAAACTCACAAACTGCTTTATTACCTTTTGTTTGGGTAGCTCCAATCTTCCTTGCTTCTGATTCCTATGGCACTATGGCTACAAGACAGCCTCAGAAAAGAATATTTACAGCTCAAGGTTGAATAGCCTTGTCCACTAGCTCACATTTTATTCTTGTTTTCAGTCTACTTCTAATCAGTTCCTGGATTTGGATCAGTATTGTTTCTAACCTGATTCTTCCTCTGTCTCTAAATGTTGCATGAAAGGTGCAAACTTACAGATAGTCCTTGATTTATGACCGCAATTGGGACCAGATTTCTTGTTATTAAGTTGTTAATGGCAGTTTTACAACATTTTTGTAGTGATCATTAAATGAATCACCATGGTTGTTAAGAAAAGACCACAATCATTAGTGTGAACCCATTCTTCTGAACGGGCATTTTTTGCAAAAAAACAAAAAACAAAAAAACCTAGCAGAAAATGTTGCAAATGGTAGACATTTGACTGCATGGCTGTTCATAAAGGTGAGCTGACTCCCAAGCACCTGATGCGCAGTCATGGGATGATGATGGGATATATGTATATGGTACATTTTACAATAGCAAGAAGTACTTGATGGCCATAAAGCACCCATTTCAGGCTGATTGTAATTTTCAATAGTCATTAACCAGTCATAAGTCAAGAGTTATGTGTACAGTTTGCACCTGTTTTATTTTCCTTAAAACAGAAAGAAGGTAAAAAGAAAAAGACCCTCTTTTCATACCTACCTAACTTGGGCACAGGCTGTGTATCCCAGAACTGATAGCTGCGTTTAGTGGCTTCTTCCATGGTCTTAGCAGGCCCTTGTCCTACAGAGAAGAGCTCAATGGCTTTTTGAATCTCCTGCATCCTTTCTGCTGGCAATGAATTCACCTTTATATGAACCAAATGTAGAAAAAATAATAGACTGACCAGCCTTCATTATTTGCCCTTTGAGAAAAATTAAACTGTTCTCCTTTTTGAGGGGGGGAGATATCCTGCTTTTCTTCTCTAAAGACTACATAAAATGCATATGTTCTCCCTTTACACCGCTACCTATCCTGAACAAGAGTAAGAAATATTGCATAGTCAATCACACACTCTCCCAAGGAACCACCTCCCCCAAGATAGAGCTGCTAATTTATACCACTGTTGGTAGATGAGTAGACAGATTAAGATTACTCCAATTGAAAGGCATAAGCAGCTTCAATTTAGATTCTTAGTGCTTCTAGTTGCACATATACCCCAAAGTAAATATGATAAGCATTACGCTCTAGTATATGCAAATGCAGGCATGAAGGTTTGGAAGAATTCAGCATAGTAATCTACTGAAAAAGTTTTTTTTACCTTTGCAGATTGATCTTGGACCAGATCAAATTGCTCCCCCTTTTCTTTCTTCCGTTTCTGTTTCTTCTTCTTCTTTTTACACACACTTTCATCTGTTGAGCTTAAGCCACTGAAAAACAAAAGGAACATAAGAAACAAACCTAAGATATTCACTGTTAACAAAAGGATTTTGAGACTGCAGGAAGAAAAGAGAAAATTCAAGAGTTCCTTCCTTTAGGTTGTTAACTACAGATCTTTGAATAGTCTCAAGCTGCTCAGAGAAACCATTGCTAGGAATTAAACCATGAATGGTTTTCGTGTATTTTTTTCAGATATTATCCTAACATCTTTTCAAATACAAGGTCAGAATTAAAGGGAACCATTTAGTCACCAAGTCCTAAATTGATTCCTTGCATGAATCCAAATTAAAGCATTCAAAACACATGGCTGATTAGCCTCTGTGAATGACAGCACAACCCTTTCCGACTAACTGCTTCCTGTTGTAAACCTGTTGCTATTGATAGGGACACTTTCCTAATATTTAACTGGAATTTTCATTCTTTCTAATTCTCTGACCATCCTTCCCGCCCTTTCCTGAGCATGTTTCAGTTTATCTGAATCCTGTGATTTGCTAGGACTGAACAAAAAGTATCTCTGTGAGGGAGATGGGTGGTTCCTATGTCTGATAAATAAATAAATAATACTCAAACGAGAGTTCAGCCAATGCGGAATAATGCAGAAGTATTAATTCTGTGATATGGATTCTAGACTTTTAAATTAAGTATATTAAATATACTTAATAAGCCTAAAATTGCATTTGCATTTTGCAGCCATTTTATATTGTTGACTCATAATCAGTTTGCAATAAACTACTATCCTAAGAAAAACCTCATTAATTCTCTTGCCAAGCCAACTCCCTCATTTCTACCATGCCTATGGATTTTATTCCTGTTTCCTAAATACATATTTCTGTGTTTTCAGCCCTTTTTTCTAATTTATTAAGATTTTTCTAAATATAGCTATCCCACCCAAATTTAGGCCATCTGCAAATCTAAGCAACATTCCCTCCAGTTCCTCATATAATCCTCAAGAATGAATCCCATGATTTGCTATTCTAGTTTGAAGATAACCTTAGGTAAGGATTTCCATAAGGCTATCTATACATCCTTGCAATTGTCATACTATCCATAATATCCTTAGCTGGTTTACTAATATGCTAATATTAGTATTTGCTAATATGTAAATATCAACTGCTCTTTAAAACAAAATCAGTTTCTATTGGTCTGAAAGATTGCACAAACAACCACAAAATGCTTCACATTTATTGTGAAATTACCTATGTATGTACATAGGTAATGGTGGTATATACTACCATTCACAATCCTACCATTTCCATCTCTGTGTAATACATAACATAGATATTGTGTTTATGGGCATATATAATCAATGTCTGATGAGAAAAGACTAGGGGTAACCAAAGGAAAATGTTAGACTGGCTTCTTATCCCATGAATGGAATGAATGGAATTAAGCTGCATGTTTTATATAATTAGTAATTTTTCCTTTGATGTGCAAGAAGACTGTAATCTGTATTCCAGTTTTGTGAGGAAATGAAAAGGGTTGATTACAGCATATGATATGAGTTGTTTGCATGAGTAATGTAGCTTGCTTGGCTGTTACTCTGATGCAGCACATTTTCCTTTCTTAATGATACTACATTAATTTTTTGAGTCAGAGGCTATGACAATAATGTAAAAAACTTCAAAGTATAACAACTTATAATACAATTCTATACAATCAACACAGCACATGCTATTATTATTATTATTACTGCATTTGGATAGTAATCTTAATAATTATTACATTAATAACAATATAGCATTTAATAATTTGTCAACACAATAAAACAATAATCTAGCACACAGTGGGCAATCCTTCTGTGGTGGATATTTCACTTTAAATAATAGTTTTGTTGTCAAGGCAACATGGGACGTTTTGGTGATGTGACATGTCTTCAGGGGCATAATAAGGGGAGAGGGATATTACAAAAAGAGTTGAAGATATATCTAATAAAAGCTTTATCCTGACCTACAACTTTAAATTATGAATTATTATGAATTGTTTTTCAAATATATGTTCTTCTGCAACATTGCAGAATAGCAATCATTGTAGAGAACTATTACCATTGATCTTCTACTTCAGCTGATCTATCTCCAACAGATTCCACTTTAAAATTGTCGTTTAATGAAACATTTCAAAATAAACATTTTTAAAAAAATCATACAAATGAGACTGCCTGGGCATTTTGCAAATATTTTTTTTTAAATTAAATCCTCAAAATTGGAGTAAAACGCAATATCATGAACAATCAGTCCAGAAATTATTTTTCTGAACCAAAATTGGAGCTGGCCCACAAAAATGTTTCAATTTGACTCCAATTTTAATGGCTTCATTTAGGTAGAATAAGTGATTGTTTCTGTTGTTATTCTGAAATAATTAAGAGTTGAAAATCCTTATTGGAAATCACTTGTTATTAATCAATAGTACTCTATCCAATACTTATCATTCTAGAATTCATAACTAGCATAAGGCAGTGATAAGGCCTCATGACTGCTGTGAAAACCTTGTTTGTAGCTGCAAGTAACAGGAGTTGCCAATCTGGTTTCTTCCAGTTGTTTTTGCCTATAATTCTCTAATCCATTAATATTGCTTATGCCAGCATAGTGGCATTCGAGGTACAAGTCATTTAATGACTGTTCAAAGTTACAAACCCCCCCCCCAAAAAAAACTATATATTGATCCCATTTCACAGTTATACTGCCTGCAGCCCCACGCATACATTTGCCCTTACAACCAACTGTAGTGATGCTGCAGCATGCCTAATCATCTATTTTTCCCAGCCTTCCTTACCTCATCCCCATAGGCACTGGGCCTGCTTTGCATTTCACACATTCCTGCCCACCCACAGTCACTGTTCACTTACCTTTTGAAGGTATCAAAGGCTCAGGAAGTCACCTAGAAAAGGCCAATCCATTGTTGGGCCATGCTAGCTTTATGCTAACACAGCTAATGCTGGGTCAGCTAAGGTTACCAGTGAGAAGCAAATCAGCAGGGTTTCTTCTTTTCACTAGCAATAACTTTAACTCTCTCAGCATTGACTGTTAGCATAAAGTTAGGATAGCTAATACGGGGGAGCTAATGCAGGCAATGAAAAGGAAACTGGCATGATTTCTTCTCCTTAATTGTGCCACATGGCCCAGCAACAGGGCAGCCTCCCTCATTACCCTGACCTCTGAGCATCTTTGAAATATAAGTGTGAGATTGTGACAGATTGGAAAGTGATGATGTCCTAAGGGGCTGGAAGGGGAGCATGGGGTTCTCTGGGTCTGGTCTTAGGAGGCCTTGGAGGTCCAATGTAGGTAGGTTTGTGCTTGCGCTAGACTTCCCAGGGTCTCCCTCAACCCTGAGGCACCTCATGCTCCACTTAATGATCCATGCCTTTGTTTAACAAATGCACTAGGGAGAGCAGAGAAGGGGTATCATTAATGAAGCACTTCCCTTCAGATTCCATTACTGTTGCTATCACAAGGACTGCCTGTATTGTAAATTGAGACTGGCTGCTGTTATTTTAGAAGTCTGTAATGTTGTTCATTCTTCAGGTAACTGAACATTATTATCACTGTTAGCTTCCACTATAAAAACATTATGGTGGACTATCCAGAACTTCTCAAAGTAGCGTCCTTCAGTGGTGATTAAAATCTTCCTTCCAATAGAAACATAAATTGAACTTCTTGAAATTTAAAGCCATTGCACCAGATCTCTCTCTAATATATTATCTGTTGAATCTTACCTCTCAAAGGTTGAAGCTAGCATAAATTCTACTCGACAAATACACATTTAATCAACTACAATATTTTGAGCAAATAAACTTTCCTAAACCCAAAGGATAGCAAAACAAGTCTGGGCAAAATATTAAGGTGAGACGGAATCTGCATGCTTTTGGTTGTATATAGTGGAGAAATCAAATGAACGAAGATAACTAAGCTATGATATAAAGATATAAAGCTCTATAGCACAGATTAACCACAATTCTATAGAAAAGAATAAAACACTTTCCATATAACTCACATAACGTCCTATTGTCAAAAATGTGTAGTTGTGGTTTTTTCTTCTTTTTTATGCAACATCACCTGCAAATATGGCAATCAATATACATAAAATGGTAAAATACATCCAGTTATGGCTTACTACTGCATAAACTCAATCACTGAACACATAAGTGGTGTTTAAATAGAGAATTTTAAAAAAAGCGGTTAAGCTAAATACAACTAAAGAAAATAAGAGAAATGTAATTGCAGTGTAGTGTCAGTCTTACATTCTAGATCAGCGGTCCCCAATCTTTTGGGCTCCATGGACCAGCAATGGCGGTGGGGGAGGAAGGGTTTCGCACATGCAACCTAATCCCGCACATGCGCAAACAGAGCTTTGTGTGCTCTGCCACCATTCCAGTTCCCAATGGGCCCCAGACAGGTACTGGTCAGCAGACCAGAGGTTGGGGACTTTTTCTTGATGAAAAAGATGAAGCAAAAACAGCCCTAAACAGAAAAAATAGTGCTCTTTTAAAACCTATTTAATCTTAAAACAAGTACCATACCATGTGCCACATGCTTAGAACAAAAGTAAGCAAGATGTCCCACTATGTGTACAAATGGCTCCAAATGACTGAGACCATACACAATAGAGGAAACAAACATAACCCAGGGTCTCTGAACATTACAACAAATGAAAAGAATCTATAAACCCACATATAAGGCATTTTTAATCTTATGTCTAGAACACAGAAAACAATATAAAGCCCAGAAACTGAGCAGTTAATCATCTCTCAACAGACTGAAGCAAACAAGTTTTCTTTAAACTACAGTTTAAAACATAAGAACTATTAGATGCTGCTCAGTCACTTTTGGAACGGGCAACTACCGTGTTTTCCTGTAAATATGGCATGTCCTCATAATACAGCCATGCCACATTTTTCTGGTGGGCAAAAAATACCCCCCCCCCCGCATATAAGCCCCCTGGACAACCCTCCACCTCCGGCCAGGCAGAGCGCCTCTCACCAACCTAGTGGTATCCC